CAGTATTAAGCATTATATTACGCATTCTAGATCATTCAGATTAGGCGAAGCGGGTACTAGTGGACGCGAATTCATGGCTGCCTMAACCCGCCACAAGACTGTCGTAAATTCTTCCAATGTCCAAACTTGTGAAGACATGGCGCGTAAGAGCAGAGATTTGGCGGATTTGACGGCCGCTTCCCAGATTCCTCCAAAATGGGGAGCACTTGGAGGATTAAWGTGGTATTCGCACGCGATATAACCAGCCAGCTGATCTACATTATCAGGGTGGTTGACGAAGTGTCTGAGCTGACGAGCTGCACCGACAAAATTGGTGCGACAATCAGAATAGATCGAAGTCGGTAAACCACGACGGGCAACGAACCGGTCCAGCGTTAATCGAAATGCATCCGTAGACAGAGCGGTTAYGGACTCTAAATGCACAGCCTTAGTAGTCATACAGACAAATACTGCAATATAGACTTTCGCATTRCGTGCCTTCGAAGGCTGAGCTCTTTCATTTGTAAAGGGCCTGCGTAATCGATTCCCACCATCGAAAAAGGATGGGCTTCCCGTACCCGGAAGCTTCGCTTAGCTGCTATGATGRGTTGAGGATTAGCAGCTGACATCTTTGTACAAATCAAATATTTGCGAATCACACGATGAACTATCAGACGGATCCCAATGATCCAAAATCGCTGTTGAACAAGAGTGATATACAATCTAGGTCGACCATGACATGCATAGAGGTGCCAATGGCGAACAATCAAGACAGCCAAGTGGGACTCTTTCAGGATCAACATAGGGTGCTTGCGTCACTCGGACCAATTAGAGTTCTGCATACGACCACCTATGCGGACTACATTAACTGAGCCTAAGAACGGACAGAGGTGAGCTATAGACTTGGACGGAATCGTAGTCCACTTAGGCATACCGCTGACCAAATCGCTTAAGTAGCGACGCTGAGCGTTCTTCACTACAACACTACAACATGCACAGCTGCATCTAATTCCGACTACCTTAGGAAGCCTAATTCGACACTACTATTTCGAAACATCTGGATGAACCGTAGGACCTGAGCTGTCACACGGATCATCTGGTTAAACGAAGAAATCGAAGGGACCCTTCACAAGGTAGTTCTTCACGTGTCACCAAACAAACTGGCTTGATTTCTGGCGATAGTTCCAAACCTAAGCACGAGAAATCCTATTTCCAAGTCTCAATCGGAGACTTCAAAAACCTAGGACCCAACCAATAAAGTTTGCATTTCCGAAGCTCGGACGGAAGGAGCCCACGCGAAGCGCAATCCGCTKGGTTGACTTYAGAGCGAACATTTTGCCAGCTGCAACCAGGTAACGTAGACTAAATTTGGAAGACTCTGTTGGACACAAAYGTCTTATACGAGGTKTGTGGGTTATTAAGCCATGACAGCACAACGGATCAAACCACGCGAACACATCAGACAACACCAACTGGGTTTCCACAATACGCATAATTCTAGCCATCCTTAATGCGAGGAGCACCGCACCGCTCAATTCCAGACGTGGGATTGTCATAGCTTTCATTGGGGCCAACTTCGTCTTGGCGCCCAAAAGGTAAATAGATGTAGCTCCGACGGATCAGACACACGGAGATACACTACTGCAGCATAACCCTTCTCAGATGCATCACAAAATCCACAAAGATTTTAGCTACAACCAGTAGAGCTACCGAGGTAGCGAGGAATCCTAATTTCTCGCAACCAACCCTGCGAATGATAGAAACCACACTTATCGTTTACAATATCTTCGGGGATCTGACTGTCCCAGTCAACCTGTGCGAGACACAGAAATTGCATAATCGTTATAGCATRAAAAGTTGTTGGTGAAAGCAGACCTAATTGATCGAAAATCCTAGCGATCATGGATAACACCCCTCGCTTTGTGAGAATCAACTTAAAATTACTAGTATAAAAAGAAAAGTCTAGACTTGGATTCCAGCGCATATCCAACACTTGCACCGAGTTGTCAGAGGGTCTGCCGAACAAGCTTACTCAAAAGCTCAGGAGAATTGCTGGTCAATTTCTTCAATTCCATGCCGAATTGGCCTAGCAATCGGATCAGGTTGATTTGAAGGGCTTGCGCAGCCTCCAGCGATTCTGCACCAACACAAATGTCGTCCATGTACGTTTGATTACGTAGAGCACGTTGCACATCTGGAAAATCTTCACAATCTGTGTCGGCAATAAATTGGAGGGCATGCAAGGCTAAATAGGGAGCACAGTTCACCCCGTATGTGACCGTATTGAGAGTATACTCCTTTATGGTTACTGGGTCTGGGTGTCAGTCTCTCCACAGGATAAACTGATATCCTCTGTATTGTGGCAACACGTTAATCTGACGGTACATTTTGTAAATGTCTGTCGTAAATGCCACCTAATGAACTCTAAATCCGCTCATCACATTAACATTATCCTGTTGGAGCTTTAGCCCAACCAACAATCACTGGTTYAGGGAAAGCCCAGAATGGCACTTTGCTGAGGCGTCGAAGACTACCCTAAGCTTCACGTTGTCTTCTTCAGCCTTTTGGACCACGTGATGCAGTATGAAATATTGACCATCACCTTTCACATGACTCATATTCATAATCGGACATGAACTTGCAGTACGCCTTGTGCAACATCTTATCTGCTGACAATTTACGCTCTAGCTGTAGGAAACGGTTTAAGGTGACTTGTCGTGATCCCGGGTATTCTTCTAACATACACCCTGATCTGGACGGAAGGGGGACTGAAAACCGACCTTGTCTGTCGCGAGTGACCTCGAAGCTGAATAGCTTCTCGCACAAGCGTCTTCTGTGAACTGAGGTGGAGCAATCTCAGGTTCCTCAACACTCCAAAACTTCTCTATCATGGTCTCCATGGACGACACCAACGACACAAGCATAGATTGAGCACCCACATCAGGATGAGTCTGGACAGGACCGAWCAACACCCAACCGAAAATAGAACTATAAACGGATGGGTAACCTGGACCAAGCGAATCACTTTTATCGTTCCAAACTTGAGGAAAAATGTCCGCTCCAATGAGCAATTCTACCGGAGCTGGTTTGTCGAACATCGGATCKGCTAAAAACAAGTTACCGCACTTGGCTCTGCCTTGACTTGGTAGTTGACTAGCTGGCATATCCAATGTGATTGAAGATAGAACCTAAGTCTTAACCTGAATGGACGGCGAGGAAGAGTTTCGAGKTTGAACCACCWATTGAACAAGACCCTGCACATCCAGGACCTTCTGCCCAGATAACCCTGAAACCGAAACGGTCCAACGCGACGGTCGAAGACCTAATCTGTCGCAGAAATCGGAGGTTATCGCGCTAATCTGCGATGCGGAATCAATCAATTTGATTTGAAAAAAAAATAATATTATATTGGTGTTGTGATAGGGCATCGTGAGGGCGTCAAATATTTTTATGTTGAGCTGTATATAAATTCCAATAAACATTCGATTTAATTACGTGTTGATAGTTGATTCATGCAGGTAAAAATAACGATTTATTTTTTGTAATTCGAAATGGATTAAAAAYAGTACTTGTATAAMCTTTTCACCGTTTCGTACATTATTATTTACTATATTACTAATATAAATACTTTTAAATTACTAATAGTCAATAGATAAGTAATGTAAATCGTGTCATGTTATGTGAAATAGGTTGTGCCTTTTGTATTGGTACCTACTACACGTATTAAATTAAAGAGGAGCATTAATCAAATGGTAGATTTTAAGCGCAAAGCAAGGAGCTAGCGTGCCTTGCGCTTAGGAAACATAGTCCCACAAAATATACGCAACGACGCGAATCTTTCTACATGAACGTCGGTGGAATAATAATGCACCTCTCGGCCTCTCGAAACTACAGTGCGTGGGCCCAGGCACGGCGATAATAGACGTGGTTACGACCTGCCACAACGGCGGCAATACGGCGCACAACGCTATCTCTTGAGCGTTGCACATGTTCTGGTTTTGGTGTAGCGGCCCCTTAAAGAAGTACATATTATGTTAGTTTCTTTTCTTTGCACTCCAATAGATTAAATTGAAGCCCAATGAAAACTACCAGCTAAAACAAAATATGTACAATAAAATATACGTTTTATTTTTTACTACCCACTAAAGCCAAAATTTATTTAAAAAATAAAGACATGTTGAATATAATATTATATTTATTAGGTAGCCAGGTAGGTATTATTATTATTATACTTATTTACTACGCTATTGCTATATCTCTATATAATATTATATTATATTATATTATGTAGGTTATATACCTATATGGTTATTATATACTAGTATAATAATACTAATATATAATAACCAGGGCTCGGAACTTAATGCACTAAAAAACAATGGAATATACTTCAATATTAATATAAAACCTGGCTAGTAATTACGAGTTAAAACCAATTGTTATTTCTTATCTATATTTAATAAAATGTATATAAAATAATCATACCTTCATAAGATTTGAACCTTTGTAGTGCTTWATTCCACGCAGAAAACCCATCAACTACAAATGCCTTTTTATAATTTTGATCAGTCACAGAAAATACAGGAAGATTAATTTGGTTTTCATCAGCAGTTTTACAAATCAAACAGAACGCTTTTTCTTTCACTGGATCATATAACAACCACGGATATAATTGTAGCCATTTTTCATGTAAACTCCATGATTTTCCTTTTACAACATGTTTTTTAGAATCTCCACTATTCGATTCAACTTTTAAGTCAGAATTAGAACTGTTAGTAGCCTCATTAGATTGATCTATTCCTTTAGCTGATTTTTTACTGGTCACTTATCCATCTTAACATTTTAAAAATATATAAAATATACTAACTAGGTAATCTAAACTGGAACCTATATAAAATGTACCTACGAGCTACGTACAACTGCAGAACCACTACCGCACGTCTGCACCGAACGAACGCAGACTAATAATTACTGTCTACTACTTCACGTATACACACACTATACATTATTATTACATAAAATACTCGCGCCTATAGAATATCGTTATCGTATACGACAACGACACGACCAAAATAGTAAAAAACCCAAAACATATAGATTACCTATAGGTTAGGTTATATAGTTATAATATATAGGTAATTAAAAATGATGATTTATATTTATATTTCTAAACATGTATAATATTAAGGTATTTAATATTTATTTCATGAAGTGCCYTGCACCCCAGCACCCCAATACTCGGCGCACATGTCTACGTCACCATTTATATATTGCTCTTTGGTACGTGACGCTAATAATTTTCATTTCTCCGTTCAGTGGCGTAATTTGACCATGTTTGTGGGGGGGGGGGATAAAATATTTTAACATTTTATCTATACCCYCCCTCCCATAAAAAAAAATAAAAAGTATAAAGTATTTATTATAAGCATCTTTCACAATTCAGAGCAATATATTTATGT